AAAATTATCATCTTTTCTCCAGGACACTGAAACTTGTTCTAAAGCGACATCCTTGCTTCCAGTGGTCCTGGCCAGCCCTCCCCATCCCCTGTCCTTCTGGGCAACAGAAGCGACTACTTTGCTCTGTAGTCCATGTGCATCCTTGAGTATTTCTGTTGGGTCCCAACTCCTTGGCCTTGCCTTCCTATTTTCCTGCCCAAAGCTCTCCAAATCTATGCCTTCTAGCCAGCTGGGGCTCCTTTTTTCACATCTTTTCCATTAATTGGTTGGCCCAACATTGTATAGCTAAGAAATGGCCAAGCTGAGATGTGAACTGAAGACTAAGCTCTTCCAACCACAACCCCAATGCCTCACCAGGGGATGAACTGTGCCATAATAACCTGTGCTTCCTGTGCCCTGCCTGGCATGTTGCAGGAACCCAGTATGTATGTGTGGTTGAAGTAAAGTGAGAAGCCTTCCAGACCCCAGCCCCTCATGTGAAGCATGTCCTTAGATTTGCCCACATTAGTAACCATGTGACTCCACTTGGGCAAAAGGGCATCACCTTCTAGAAGCCCCAGCATTCAGGAATCTGCTCAGAAAGGCTGTGCACATCTTCTCCTTTCCCTTTAGGGTATTATGGGCTCAGCCTTCACCATGCCAGATGGGCATATCCTCATCATTCCAGGATATGCCTGCCAGTGGGTTCCTTCCAGCATGCAACTGGAAGAAACTTGAGTTGAGATTGACCCATGAATGGTGAGGTCATGGTACCCCCACACCAAAGCATCTGTCTAGGGAAAGTTGAGCTGGTCTTGAGCCTGAGTCTGGAATTGGTCTCAGGAGGAAGCAGTATGGTCAGACACTATGCCTCTCAGACTGGGATATGATTCCCTAGGTTCTGTCATAGAGAGTTGAGGGGACCAAAGCCACTGGAAGGACCAGGGCACATCATTTAAAAAATAGTCCTGTTAAATCAGGCAAATTAGAGTGGAATGCAAGTATTGCATGAATTGTTAAAGTGAAACAAGAGACTGTGAAGGAATTTTAAGCTTGTCTGCTTTGGGCTTCACCAGACCCACTGGGTTTCTGTTCCACTCTACTCTTTGCAATTATGGGTAGACCCATGGGAAAATCTGAGACACAGTGGTGGAAAAATATGGTTTTTGAAGTCAGAAGAAATTGAATTCCTGGCTCCCCTGTTCACTAACTGGGAGAACTGTGGGCAAGTGATTTCTCGTCTCTGAGCCTTCGTTTCCTCGTCTGTAAAATGGTGACAAACATGAACACTGCTTAGGGATGTTGGAAGAATTCAGTAAGCTCACTGGTTAGCGTCCCCAACACAGGTTCTGCTGGTTCCATGGGAAGGCTGACATTTGGCAGGCCATTGCTCAGGCCCCACAAAGAGAGGGCCAGCCTGAAAAACAATCTGATCCCTCTGTTCGCACGAGGGGAGGTGTGCTGTGGTCATCCAGAGGCCCGGAAAGGGTGAAAGGGCACTCGTGGAGGCACAGCTGATACTTCCAGAAGCCATCTAGGCCACAAATGCATGAAGCTGGTGATGGTTCCTGGCTTCTCATGGTTCCTCACATCTCCTCCAAACAGGGTTCTAACTAGAAGGTGACCATGAGGCTCTGTACTAAGTGGGGGCACTCCCTTTGGCACCCCAGAGATGAGAGGCTGGCTCCTGCTGTGGAGGCTCAGACAGCATGGATACCATTTTCCTCTGCCTTGTGAAAGGTGGCCCATCCTCGAGGTGGAGCAGTGTGGGAAGATAGCTTGGGGGAGGTAGTATTTGCTCTTATTTCCCAAGGACTGGATCAAGTCCAAATTCCAAGGCACTGGTGCCCTATCTCATCCAAGCCCTGCCATATGCATGTCATGTGGAATCTTCGGGAAGATATCCCCATCATGAGCCTTAGTTTCATCCTTTGTAAACGGGCCCAAGACCTGTTCACTGCCCTGTCCTCTTTGGAGAGCAGCTAGGTTTTGAGGAAATGGGGGCTTAGCTGGGGGAATCATCGCTGGCCTTGTTGGGTCAGGTACCCCACCGTGGCCTGAGTTTTTCCAATTTCCCTTCTCCCTGAAGTCACATTTTAGATTCTTACCGTTTGAAATGATAGAAGCCAGTGTCGTTTTTATCTGCCAGCTCTGTCACCCCTTCTGGAGCAGAATAATCTTGGGCTTTGTGTTGGATAGCTCCCCTCCCCCATTCTGCAGGGATGAGCCATGATCTGAGAGAAGAGCATAGGAAAGGCTGATGTGCTTTGTTACCAGCTCCTTGAAGGCAGCGTGAGGGCTGGCTGGAGTCATGGACTGGAGCCAGGGGACCTGCTCAAGCACAGTGGGGAAGAGACCCATCAAAGAAGAGTGAGTTTGTTGCGGGGGGGCGGGTCCCTTTGTCTTCCTTCCCTTTGAGATGCTTCCTTTTGAACCTCCAAAGTGACAGCCCTTCCGTGATCAAGTCTGGTGTCCCTGGACTTCCAGACAGCTCCAGAGCCCAGGCCAATGGGAACAGCTTCTGTGGGCTCCTTTCATGTCCCAGCCTCATGGTCTGGAGGCCTGGATTGGTCATCTTGCTCCATGGTAGAGCAGAGACCCTGAGTGTCTCACAGAAGCTGAGTCTTATGATCCACTGCGTATTTTGTTCCAGCAACAAAATAATGAGCAGACAGACAAACAGATGTGATATTAAAAAGCACGCGCTTCAGGGAATGTTTTCACAGTGTCTGATGAAAGAAGAGGCAGCCCCACTGGCTCCAGAGAGAGTCTTCTCTAACATTGAGCCGAGCACATCACTTGGGAGCTCTGCTGGCCCCCTGTTGCCCACAGGGGTAGTCTGTACTCCAGGTGAGCTCTCTTCTCCCTGACCCCGGCTCATCTCCTGCCACCCCTCTGGCAGTGCTGTGCTCCACCTGGGCTCACCTGCCACCATACCGTGTGCCCCCCCGCCGGCCCCCATCCCAAGGAGTTTTCACACCTCTTTGCCACTCCACATCCTGATTCCTGGGACTGATTTCCTTTCTTTCCTTTTTCTACCTGTTGAGATCCAGCTGGAGTGGATGCCATCCCCTCTAGGAAGCCCTAGGCAGGCAGAGTCTTGCTCCCAGGCTCCTATAATACTCGTAAGCTCTACCATCTCGGCACTGGGGGGCAATCTCCCCAGTATACAGTGAGCTCTTGGGTGCAAAAACTGTGCCTTCTTGAATTCTGTGCTCCTCATCCCCTGTCTGGGGCTAGACCGGCCTCCCAGCGGAGCTTCCTAGGTCCCAGGCCACCCCGAGGCTGCCAGATACTGTGCTTGAGCACCCAGTAGAGACCAAGGTAGAGAGCATGTCCCTGGCTGGCCGACCTCACAGCCTGAGGGAACAGGCATCTGTTTTCACTGGTGAAGAAATGAGAAGAGACTAGCTTTCCTGGGGAGCCGGGAAGGAGTTACTAAAAATATATCTGAAATTCTGGGCTTCCCAGAAGAACTCACATCAGAAAGAAAGAATTAAATTTCCATTGTGGAGTTCTCTGCTCGGAAGTTTCTAGCCTTATTTTCCCCTCCATAAAATAACTGCTTTGCTGAGAATGGTGAAGAAAACAGTATGAATAATGTCTGCCTTTTCAGAACCCAGAATTTCATCACTGAGGAAGATGCCTCAGTTTCCCCAGTCATGAAGTAGAGATGATCACAGGTTAGTAGTTCTCTCATGGGGGTCTAGGACCATGTGAAATGTCATATGGAACATGCCAAGCCTGGCCTACAGCAGGTGCTTAGCAAATGGTGGTTCCCTGTCACTGTCTTACCCATTCTTTAGATAAGATCCTAGATCCCTGCTGTGATCTCCTTGACCACATACCTGGGTCCACTGTGGCCTTTCTCATGATGGCAGCTAGGGGTTTCTCTAGGAGGGAGTTCAAATTTGGAGAGTCAAGATGATGCACAAAGCTGGTACTCTATCTGCCCCACAAACTGAAGGGACTGTCCTCAGATGAGCCCGTCTCACTTGTTCAATAGCAGTGCCGTTCCAGGGTGGGATCTTTTAAGGACATTGCCAGGAAAGATTAGTGGCCCGAGAGATTTGTCTTATAGTTACACATCCAAACTTCCCTCTCTCTTTTATTTTGGCATAACAGACTAAGATTTTACACCCCCAAAGAAAGTTTCTTTTCATACGCACTTTGGAAAATAATCAAATCTTATCCACCACCCGAAAGACACAAGGTCAGCCAGAGCCCCGCCCCAGAGAGATGGTTCCTTTTCACAAAGACAAGGAAGAGCAGCAAAATTCCATGCTCCCCCGTCCCACTGATTACAAAAAAGCAGAGAGAACCTTTATCAAAGGCTATGGACGCAGTGGGCTGGCCAGTGAATGACGGGTCAAGGCCTGGGCTAGGGGAGGGGTACAGAATGGTATCGGGCCAAGCCCCATGCAGGTTAGGTGTGACAATGGGGGCCTCTGCTGTGGTGTCGGGAGCATCCCAAGGTTCACACTGATCCAGACCGGCAGGTGTCCAGTGCCAGAGATCCCTGACGGAGACTACAAGGGGTTAGCAGTGCAGGGACCCCCAAGAGCCCAGTCATTTCCACGACAGCATGGAGGAGTAGAACCCACACCCTCTCCACTCCCAAGGACAACTAGGGCAGGGAGGTGCTGCTGAGGCTGTCACTCCCCAACACTCACACAGTCGGCTTGCCAGGAGATTCACAAACTTGAAAAGAGCAAAAGCAGGAGGTCTGGGAACGGAAAAATCCAGGGCCTTGCCATGGGCGCACTTTTGCACGGGCCCGTGGCCACAGCTGGTTGGGTGTGGAAGGGAAGCCTGGGCCTTTCAGAGCAGCATCTCCCACAGCTACAGGAGACCCCTTGGAAGGCGCAGAGCCCACCACGGAACACGGGACCACCAGTCTTCTCCTTGGAGTTGGGCAGGGTGCTGCCTCTTAGCCCCTGAGCCCAGTCACTGCCATTCACAGAAAAGGGGGCTTGGCTGCAGCAGCCTCTGGGCTCCGGCAGGCTCCCCATCCCATCAGGCTAAAAGGAGCTTAAATATTCTAGTGCCGCCTCGTATACAAATTTATACTGTTCCTGAGAGGGGGACAGGCAGGGAAGGAGTAGAGGAGGCAAGAGAGAGAGATGCAAAGGAAAGGGGAAATGCATTTAGGTTAGAGACGCAGACTTTGGAGGAAACTTTATCTACATCCATACTAACAGTCAACTCAAAATTACCCATGTAATTATCCGTATCTGGACATCCCCCCAAGTTCTGCCCCATGCCTGCTTACACCCACGCCTTCCCAGGTGCCCAGTGGGTCATTCCTTTCCTTTTCACCGTTCTGGACTCCAGTGCCTCTCAGACTGTAAGGTGCATATGAAGGGCCCAGGAATCTTTCCAAAATGCAGACTCTGAGTAAGTATCTGGAGTGGGTTGGGATTCTGCATTTCTATCAGGGGCCTGCCTAGGTGATGCTGATGCTGCCGGCCTGTGGACTGGAGTTTGAGTAGGACCACGCTTCAAGTCGGTTAAGACTCTTTGAGCAAAGTTCCTTGTGCAGTGGGCCTGATGACCTGGGCTCCGCCCGCCCACGTACTGTCCATCCCTTTCCGCACGGTGTCGGAGCCCTGTGCTTACGCTGTGCAAGTCGCATACATTAATTAGAAAGGATTGGACTGAATTGAAAATACAATGCACACTCTCCTAAGCCAGAATCCCTTCCCCTAAGCCGGAATTCGTGGTATCAGGATTAGTGTATCAGGATGAGTATTTGGGCTGCCTTGCAGGAAATAACTGTGTACCAAGGCTGTGGCCCGTCAGGACTCTGTACGCAGCCAGCTGTTGGGTGTTTTTACTATCTGAGGCTGTCTTCTCCAGATCAGGGAACTAGGGTCAGTCCCCCACCATGGGAGAAGCCTCCTGGGACACTCACCAGGGTCTCCACCATGTTGGATTTGTTGTTACGCAGCGTTTTCACAATGTGGAACACGTCAATGATGTTTTGCTGCTGGATCATTTCACACACACTGCAGATGGCACAGAAGGTCCCACTGCGGCCGCCCCCATTTCTAGACACAGAGTGACAGAGGTGAGTGAATATGCTTGGGTACCCCCCAGGCACCTGATGATCCTAAAACCACATCAGAAGTAGTGGGCAGTGGCTGGCCCAGTACGTGCAAAAGTCAGGCTATGGCGAAAGCCTCAGTGATTTGAGTTCTGCTGGTGCCATGAACCTGCTTTGACTTTGGGCAAGTCTTTTCCTATTCATATAATGGAGGGGTTGGACTAGATGCTCTTTGAGAATTCAATTAGCCCGATGTTTCCTTGGTTCTATGAGCATGTTAAAGTCACCCATGGCACACTGACCCAAATAGTGTGACGGTGTCTTTGTACGTGTGGTGCCTGCATCCTTGTCCAAAAGGAGGCTCTGGGTCCACCTACACATCCAGTGAAGACCGTGGAAGGTTCCAGGTGGTTTTCATTCTAGTTCTTTCCATCCACTAAGGACAGAAACAGCCTCAGGTCAGCCAGCCTAGGTTTGGAGGTGGGGCTGGGTGGGTCTGAGATGTTCTATCCTGAAATGATAGGTCTCTGGGCACCCTGGTTTAAGCAAGACCCTGTCGATTGGGAGAGCAGAGCTCAGGGCTCCTGGCAGGTCACCTCTCTGTCTCTCCTTTCCGGTGCTCCATAATTTCTGTTCATGGAAACACCCCTCCAAGTATTTACAGAAAGTCCCTTTAGGAATCTGCCTGATTTGGAACTCCTGGGCGTGTTGCCAAGAGCAGCTAATGATTGCATGTAATGGCCTATGTCTAAAGAACATCTGGATGGAAACTAAGGTGCTCGGTTTCCCAGATGTTTTATCTACAGGACACCCAACAAGCAGATGTGTTGGGTACAGACAGTTGCCCTCCACTCACTGGCCAGTGCCTGCATTTGGCGTCTCTTGTGTCTGGCCTCCGAGGATGCCATGGTCCCCGTTGGTAAGAGGACATGCCTGTGCTTTACTTGGGCTCAAACTGTGGGTCACCTTGGTGAGGGGGGACCTGGATAAAAAAGTACTTCTCCCAAAAATTGGGCTAAAAAACAATCACCTGCAGAGGAGGAAGAACGGACCCCCCCCCACCCAGAAGGAGGTACAGCAGGAACCCGAAGCAAGAGGAAGAGGTAAGTGGGCACAGGTGTCCCAGGGCCTGGTGGACTGAGACCGGATGGGGACGGTTGTGGCTGTGTGCTACAGGGGAGGCCACCTGAGTGTGCGGGAGGGACCTGAAGGGGGCAGGGGCTCGTTGGCAGAGAACCATTTGCCAGGTTCTGGGATGTGGGCAGAACCAGCTTGGTTTGGCTGATAGCGCCCATCAGCGTGACACAGCTCACAGCATCTTCCTGGTCCCTGGTTTGTGATTTGCGTCCTTGGAGAAGAAAGGATTGTGATAGGTGGTGGCCTTAAGCTGTGTGTGCGCGTGCCTGTCTGGTTTTCCTGACATGTGAATGCACCACTTGTTTGAAAGGTGGGAATAATAAGCTGGTTTTGTAAAGACTGAACTCGATTCTGAGGTCAGTAAGGTGTTATTAATGCCTCTGCTGGCTCCAGAAATATTTACTCTGAAAAGGGAAGAGCTTGCTCCCAAGTCCTCTGACACGACATTTTGAGAGAGTAGGGCCCGCTCAGTCACCTCCCCACAACCTCCACATTGTAGGCAGCAAAGCGACGGTTGTCAGTCAGATGTTGCACACACGGCTGTTATGGCTGGGGCTGCACATGTGTTCTGGGTCCGAGATCTTTGCAGGATCCTTCTCTGAGGTCATTTTATACTCCTCTGGCAGGGTCTGACACAGGTTCTCGGAAGTAATCACTTTTACAACAGGTGCATATTTGCTACCATGATATTGTGGGTCTGTATGTTGGTAGATGAACTGTATTTGTTCTCTATTTCCTACCAAAGCACGATAGGGTCTTAAGATGACCTAATTCAACATACCCACTGGATGGATGAGGACACTGAGGCTCACTCAATTAAGTGACTTTCTTGATGACAGCTTGTCAGCCCCAGTCCCCTAAGGGTCCTGACCTCCACTGGGCATCAAGGTCTATTTGCGAACCCCTGTGCCCCAGCCACGCCCATTCTAAGATAGGTGGTAGAGATTCCAGCATGCCCCAGCAGTGGAAGTATAAACACAGCCCACCTGAGCCCACTGAGCTGTGGGAACAGTGTTCCCAGGGCTCTTCATAGCCATCGATCTGCCCCACAGGCTCCTCGTGTCCCTGCGTACCCACTATGCCCATAGCAAGAGATGACCCCACAAGGTGACGTGGTGGATGGGTCCTTTGGTTTACTCAGAGGCAGTGTGGGTTAGCAGATGGCACATTAGCTTGGAGGCCAGTGGCTTTAAATCAAAGCTCCTCTCTTAACTGCCCGGTCCCTTCCCCTGTCTGTGCCTGTTTTTTACTACATGATAACACCTACCTCGCAGATGGTATTTTAATTTTACGATTCACTTAAAATGTCTGGCATCAATCAACACCTGTCCCTCTCTTTCTTCTTTTCCTTCTTTAGGAACTAATTGGAGGGTCTGGTCAGTGGAACCCACTTTGTCCTAGCTTTCTTGCAACTAACAGGACACATCGTGCCTCCTGTGGGGGAGTGGAGCTTACCTCCCTACTGTGAGTGCTGGGGTGCAGCCTGCCCGCCCCCGATGTTTGTGAAAGGCCACCAGGTTTTGCATCAATAACATGTCACATAACCTTGGTTAGTTCAGGGCAACAGACGGGCAACCCCAGTCCATGAAAGATTGTAATTTCTTGAATACACACCCCTGGGGTTTTAAGGGATGTTGAGATGTGGTATGGCCAGGCATGCCCATGGTCAGTGGCATCCTCCAGGACAGATACCAGTCACCCGCCCCCAGAGAACCCTCCATAGCACTCACAGGCAGTGGACCACGGTGCGCCCCTCCCTCCCGTCGTACTGCTCCTGCCACTTCTCCAGCCGTCGGACCACTTTGAGCAGAGAGCGCTTGGAGGGGGGTGTGTCCCGGTAGGCGGGCCAGCCAATGTACTGGAGGTGCTGGACTATACGATACCCATCCTGAGGCTGAGAACAGAGAGGCCGTTAGGGCTGTTCTGCCAGGGATGCAAGCCCTTCACAGGCCCTGGGGCTGCAGCACTGGAGTGGGAGACAGACCGAATGGGGTCAACGCTGTGTCTCCATGGGGACACACTCCTCTTTCTACCTTTGTGCACGTGGATTCTCCTGCCATGACTTCCCTGCACCCCCCTTTCTCCCTGGAAAACTACTGGTTTCCAAAACCCAATTCAAATGTCCCTTTCTCTAGGAAAAGCCTTCCCTGACTCTACTGGGGGAGAATTCATCTCTCCCCCCAAGGTTCACGTGCCAGAACATAGCTCACCTTCCCATTGGACAGTGAACTGAGGGCAGAGATGGAGTTTTTGTTCACCCTGGGACCCCCAGTAAAGACCAAAGTCGTTCTTTAGCCATTTCATAGACTACTCATCTGCTCCCTCCCACCCACTTCTCCTCCACCTGGCCAGTGAATTTCTACGGAAGCAACTAATTATTTTCCCTCTTGGTGTTCTCAGGGTCTAGCCCAAAGCTTACTGGATCCAATCAAAGACCCCGTCACCTCATGCCAAAACAGCACAGCACAGTGGGAAGCACTGATTTCTGAGAAGTTCTGACTATAAGACAGCGTGTCAGGAAAGAGACAGATGGCAGGCTGGAGGTTTCCCCGTGCGTCTCTGAGCGCTGGAGCCATTGTTGGGTCTGAAGCCAGAATCGGCAGAAGCATCACTTCCCCAAGGATGGGATGATCAGGAGAGCACAGCACAGACTCCTGGCTGGCTGGGGACCGCCTCTGTCTGGGCTGGGGAGGAGCGGCACAGGAAGCCGAGGCAGGCTGGATGCTTACCCGGGCCATGTTACAGATGCGGAATATTCTGTGGATGATGTCCTCGTCGATGTCTGCAGACACGAACTCCACCTGGATGGGCCCGTAGCACCCTGCAGTCTTCTCAGGCCAGTACTGCATACAGAGCTGGGGCAAGGGAGAGGTCAGAGAGAGAGTCCGAGGGAGGGGTGGCGGGCGTTGGACTCATTTATCACCAGGCCCTTTCCTACTGCCTGCAGAACATGCTGGCTAGGAAGGTAGAGTAGTAGGTGAGAAACTTGACCCCACTTCCCCGTTGGGGAGCAGCCACCCATGTTTGTTGTTGAAAAGTCAAAGCTCTGAACACAGAAACCGTGGACTTAAAAATCTTTGCTATGTTGATTTCAAACCATTTGTTAGGGTTGTTGGGCCTCAGTTTCCTCCTCTGTAAAGCAAGGGGGAATAATACCTCCCTTGAAATGCTGGCAGGATTAGGAAGAGCAAGTACAGTCTCTAGTTCAATGCGAACCCAGACAAACTTCCCCATTCCGGAAAAACCTTCCCAGTGTCCCTCTCATCATCAGATCATCACTAGTTTAAGAAACACATAGGCCTTGGCATCCGACAGGCTTGGGTCCCCATCCTGGCTCTGCTGCTCACTTGCTGTGACCCAGGCCTGTTTTCTCCTACGTAAGATGGGGACAGTTATGCTTACCTTGCACCAGAGATCATGTGACATGGTGCTGAGAAATCCTGCCTGTGATCTTTCCTATTTTTCTGGAATTGGGAGTTAGAACCTACAGCTGAGGGCAAAAGGCTGTGGTTGCCCTTTGACCAAAGATAGTGGTTTTCAGCCAGAGGTGGTTTTGTCAGCTGGGGGACATTTGGCAATGTCGGGAGACATTTTGGAAGGTCACACTTGGGGGTTGCTATGGGCATCTAGCATGTAGAGGCCAGGATGCTGCTAACCATCCTACATGATACCAATAGAGCAGAGATTGAGAAACTCTGGCTTAAGATCCTAAATTGCTCCCTACATTTATAGCACCATCAAGGTGAGACAGTAATTTATTCCCCTCTATCTGTTGATGAAAGAATATTCAGGTAGGTGGCAGGGGTTATGGCTCAGAGAGGGGCAAAGCAGGCTTCCTCAAATCCCCAGTTTTGAAGGGGCGTGGAGATAGACCCCGTCCAGGTCTATAGCCCCAGAGTTGAGAAATCTGGGGATTTCCCAGGGATATCTGATGCCCCCCCCCATGGCCACCGTGGATGCAGGATCTTCATGAAAATGATCCTTCTCCCTCTGGTTGAGATCAGCCAACTGTCCCTGGCCAGTCACATGCAAAAACAACTTTTTATTCTATCTTTCCTCCAGAACTAGAACCAGAATGGAAGAGCAGGGAGGAAGAAGGAGGATATAGGAGAGAGAAAAGAGCCCAAATTCCAGCTTGGGAATAACATGTTCGCATGACGGCTTACAGGCTAAGCCTGGCCAGTTGGCTTATTCTGTAAATATAGTTTTATTGAAATATAGCCATACTTACTCATTTATGTGTTGTCTGTGGTTGCTTTCAAACTACAACGGCAGATTTGAGTAATTGAGAATACCTTGCATAACCCAAAGTAGCCTGCAAAACCTAAAATATTTCTGATCCTTTACAGAGCAAGTTTGCCAACCCTTGACCTACAGGGTTGTTCCAAGGACATGTAAGGAGATGACACATGTGAAGAAAGCCTTTTGCACAGTGCCAGGCATGGAATAAGCATCCACTAAATTCCAATGAGTCACATTATTCTGGAACATATCAGTGTCCAGCAAACATAACCAACATAATGATAAATAGCTAACACATACATTTGAAAGATTCTTCTTATCATTCCTCTTAAATAGCAAAGATGAGCAAGGCTAGGTTTCATAATGCAATGGTGCCTTGCTTTCCTGTGTCCATCATGGGTTAATTGGGCACGTTGAGAAAGGACCTGGGTGTGCGTGCATGGTGGCGGTGCTGGACAGTTATCTGCTGAGCTGTGCAATAATGACAAACCCACAATCTGAACTTGATTTCTCTTTGCCATTGGCTCTTCTGGCTTGCAACCTTCACAGTAATGAGGACTGGTAGAGGTAAGGCGGTGGCTAGCCAAAGAAATCAGAATTAATCTGACTGCCCATTAAAAAAAATAATAGCCTTCATCACCTGCATTGAATTGAGCCTTGCCAGAGGTTAGCTGTGATTCTGACATGAGGTACATGGGTCCCAGGCATCAGGGAAAAAGTCTATTACCCCCAATATTTTCAGTCCAGAGAGAAGGTGGAATGATTTGTCTCTTTTAATAAGATTTCCAGACCAATTTCTCAAGCTAATAGGTTCTACTGTGCCTCAAACAAGACTCCTATATTTCGGGACACTTCTCTGCATTCGATTTTCCAGGTCACTCTCCCATGATGCCCAGAGGGCTGCGGAAGGGTGCCGGGTTCTTCTAATCCTAAATCGGAGCCATCCTCCCACTTGAGGATGGGAGGATTCATGAGACCGGAGGTGGCAGCAGCAGCATGGCGACATCCAGCCCAGTGATGTGTGCACAAACGGGGTGCTGGAGCTGCCAAGCATCATCAGGTCTCCCCACAGCCATGGATGTCCTACATAGTCCAGGTATGGGAAACAGGAGAAAGATGGGGGAAGCCAGTGTTCTGTTCCCAGTGATCCTTTAGGGCTTGGAAATGATTCTCACCAACAAGAAGTGTCCTCTGTGGTTTAGCTCAAGGCTGTCCTGGTGTCCAAGTACTGGGATGGTGTCTCGGTGGGCACTGCCATTTTGGCCTGTGTCCGTAGTATAGCTAAAGGTAATGGGGCTCCCACTTGAAGCACCCTGGGTTCAAATCCCAGCCCTGATGCCTTTTAGCTGAGTGACTTGGCCACATCTTATAGCTGCTCTGGGTTATGAGTGGTTGGGAATTTTAATGTGTTACTTAGCAGCACAGAGATCTTTCGTGTGTACTCAATCAATGTGAGCTATCATAAGCAGGCAGTGCAGGGGACGGTCACTCAAACAAGGGGGATAAAGTGAAGGCCCCCCCCATTAGTATCCCTTATGAAAATTTCTCCTTAGGATAATACCCATAGGACTGACCTTGTGAAAATTCCTTCTCAGCCAGCTTGGGGTAGCAGTGGAGGTGGGCAGCATCCTGGACATGGGGACACTGTTGTTCATGTCCAAGGAGAGAGAGCTGTGGGCTATTAAGAGGGACCCAGGCGATGAGAAAGGTTGGGAGCATAGGAGAACCAGTGAAAGGGTGGAAGGTGACTCAATGAATCATGTGGTCCCTCCAACCTCCTAAATATTCAGTAAATTTATAATAATATGTATAAGGCTCAATGCCCATGGTGGTTTCTTGTAAAAACCAGGGCGGAATTGAGCTTTGTTACCTAGGTGACACAGAAAGGGGCGGAGGTTACATGTGTGAACCGAGGAGCCTGTGAGCACGTTAGTACCAGTGATTGACAGAAATCGTGGGGAGGGAGGCTTATGGTTTCTTTCTTTTTTTAAAGCTGTCAATTAGTTTTGTTTTTTTTTTTGGATTCCAGTTAACACACAGTGTTATATTAGTTTCAGGTATACAATATAATGATTCAGCACTTCCACACCTCACCCAGTGCTCATCACATGTGGCCTCCTTAATCCCCACCCCCCTTTTCACCCACCCCTCTGCCCCCCCCCACTTCCCTCTGGTAACCATCAGTTCTCTGTAGTTAAGAGTCTGTTTCTTGATTTGTCTCTCTTTCTTATTTTTTCCCTTTGCTTTTTTTTTTTCTTAAATTCCACATATGAGTAAAATCATATGGTATTTGTCTTTCTCTGGCTTATTCTGCTTAGCATAGTACTCTCTAGCTCCATCCATGTCATTGCAAATGGCAAGATTTCATTCTTTTTTATGGCAGAATAATATTCCGTTGTGTATCTACACCACATCTTTATTCATTGATCATTTGGTGGACACTTGGGCTGCTTCCATATCTTGACTATTGTAGATAGTGCTGCTATAAACATACGGGTGCATGTATCCTTTGGAATTAGTGTTTTCTCTATTCTTTGGGTAAATACCCAGTAGTGTGATTGCTGGGTTGTAGGGCTGTTCTATTTTTAACTTTCTGAGGAACTTTGGTATGTTTTCCACAGTGGCTGCAGCAGTTTGCATTCTCTCCAATGATGCAAGAGGGTTCTCCTTTCTTCACATCCTCATCAGCATCTGTTGTTTCTTGTGTTGTTGATTTTAGCCATTCTGACAGCTGTGAGGGGATATCTCACAGTAGGTAGATTGATTTGCATTTTCTGGATGATGAGTGATGATGAGCACTTTTCATGTGTCTGTTGGTCATCTGTATGTCTTTGGAGAAATATCTATTCATGTCTTCTGCCCATTTTTAATTGGATTTTTTGGGGGAGTTGAGTTTTATAAGTTCTTTATATGTTCTGGATACTAAACCTTTATCGGATGAGTCATTTGCAAATATCTTCTCCCATTCCATAGATTGTCTTTCAGTTTTGTTGACTGTTTCCTTTGCTGTGCGGAAGCATTTTATTTTGATAAAGTCCCAGTAGTTTCTTTTTGCTTTTGTTTCCCTTGCCTCGGGAAACCTATCTAGAAAGAAGTTGCTATGGCTGATGTCAAAGAAGTTACTGCCTGCGTTCTCCTCTGGGATATTTATGATTTCTTGTCTCAAATTTAGGTCTTTAATCAAACTTGAAGTTAATTTTGCCTGTGGTGTAATAAAGTGGTCGAGTTTCATTCTTTTGCATGTTTTTGTCCAGTTTTCCCAACACCATTTGTTGAAGAGACTATCCTATTCACCACTGGATATTCTTTCCTGCTTTGTTGAAGATTAATTGACCATATAATTGTGGGCTTATTTCTGGATTTTCTATTCTGTTCTATCCATCTCTGTGTCTATTTTTGTACCAGTACCATCTGTTTTGATTATTACAGCTTAGTAATATAACATGAAGTCTGGAGTTGTGATGCCTCCAGCTTTGCTTTGCTTTTACAAGATTGCTTTGACTATTGGGGTGGGGTCTTTTGTGGTTCCATACAAATTTTAGGATTGTTTGTTTTAGTTCTGTGAAAATTGCTGTTGGTATTTTGATAGGGGTTGCATTAGATGTGTACATTG